TGAAGTGAGCCTGCTTGAAAATTTGGATAAATTTGGGAATTGGTCATGCACAGTCCTAAATGAGCCAATAGCGTAACATAAAGCAAAAAATTTCATATTGGCATATTTAGATTGTATTAATTAGCTTAAGCAAAAGTACATTTTCTTTATTGTATTTATTGCCACTTAGTTAAGATTTAACCTATGTTTTTAGTTTGTTTGCCACAGCAACACTCTTAACATGAAGTCTTTTCCTTTTCTTTTCCTCAACAATAATGTGTTCACTGGCACTCAATTTGGGGTCTACCAGAATCATTGGTTATTGTAACAATACTCATTGGAGTTCATTGCTGAAGCTGTCTCTGATGCTATTCTGCCAAAATTCAAAACATAAATTTGCTGACAAAAAGCATCAATAAAACAAACCACGATCTCATTATAGGTTTGGTCTTAGCATCAGCAAAACAGCTGAATTCCAGTAATGAGGTAAGAATGCAAACTACTTATTGAGTTCCTTCAAATGAGAAACTGTATCTGGTTTGCGGGGGAAGATACCATCTCTTAGAAATATAGGTACATCAAAGAATGCAGGGCCAGTGGAATCTGCTGGACAATTACAATTATCTACATGGTTCAGAGAGGAATTTCACAGATTTTTTTTAACCCAGTTCGCCCTTCCAGCAAATCACATGGGTCACAATTGTATGGAACAAGCTGAGTTGACCAGGTAGTCTTTGAATTTTTGACATTGTTTGGATGTTTTAAATCATCGTTTAAGTTTTATCAAGATCCAACTGGATGGTGAAATAAACTGGTGATTTACTGTTACCTAGACTGATCATAGTTTGCCAATGTATTTTTGACAAACATTGATTGTTGTGCAGGTTTTCAAAGATAATTGGAGGATGAAAGAGCTTTAGAAGTGGCTAAGCTTGTTAAAATATTTGAAGGCAGCATGGTGGTTCAGTGGTTAGCACTGCTGCCTCACAGCACCAGGGACTCAGGTCCAATTCCAGTCTTGGGTGACCTTCTGTGTGGAGTTTGCCCATTCTCCATGTCTGTGTGGGTTGCCTCTGGGTGCTCTGGTTTCCTCCCAAAGTCCAAAGATGTGCAGGTTAAGTGGATTGGCCGTGGATTGCCCATAGTGTCCAGGGATGTGCAGGCTCGGTGGATTAGTCATGGGAAATGCAGGGTTACACAGGAATAGGTTAGGGGGATGGGATGCTTCTCAGAGGGTCAGTGTGGGCCAAATGGCCTGCTTCCACACTATGGATTCTATGATTAATACACATTTACTTTTATATCAGTAGCACGAACAGAGATAATGTTGATTTTGTCTCAGAACAATTGCTGCAATTGTTTATTATATTAGACACAGCAGCTCACCTTAAATTTTAGATACAAAATATTTTCATCCTGCATACATTATGCTCTGTCACAATTATTTCTTAAAGTTTTAAATTTATCCTCAGGACATGGACATCACTGACAAAGCCAGCATTTATTGTCCATCTGTGGTTGCCTCGAGAGGGTGGTGATGGGTCACTACATGACTTGCTGTATTGTGACAGTACATCACATTGTTATTAGGTAGGGAGATCCAGTAATATACATCTGATTCAGAATGAAGGAGATCATGGAGGTAGTATACCTGTTGCCCTTTTAGGGTATTAAAGATACCTCTGAGTTTCCACAATGCATCCTTCAGACCATGCATCCTGCTAAACTTTGATTATAAAACCTCTTTTAATGGGATGGTATATTTAATAACTAGATAAACACCATGGGAACCCCATTAGTAAGCAATTAAATCCATGCTATGTTTAATACCATGTGAAAAAGTACTCAAACATTTTACTGATAATTTGCTGACGAAAAGCATATTTTCAATTTTGGCAGAATAGCATCAGATATTTTGAGCAATGAACTCCAATGAGTATTGTTACAATAACGTAGCCCTCTATGACATGGTGGTTAATAAGTCATTCATTGTATTTTTGTAAATAAACTTCAGAAGAAACAGTAGATGATGAAGGAGATTCTGTTCTGCAAGTGTGTTAAATTAATTTCTCAAACCTAGTGCTCTTCCAAATGTGTGGGGAGAAGGGTATAATAAATTGACTCACAGATTCAAATATATATTTGCCACAGACTGTATTTGATTTAAAAGAGAAACCAGAAATAACAGGGAGCCACACAGGAAACAGCAACAACTTCACAAATACACTCAGTAAATCAGCCACATATTGACTAATAGGGAGAGTAAATGCTGTTTGGAAACAGTTCATTTACCCTGCAAAGTACGGGACCCCTACTCCTGCAATTACTGCATCTGTTCAAGAAGGTGGCTGTCCAGCATCTTCTCATGGGCAATTCGAATGGGCAATAAATGCTGGACTAGCCAGCGATGTCTACACGCCATGAATGTATAAAAAATTGTGGCTTTGTTTTGTCTCTTATTTGATGACAAAGCAACAGTGACTGGAATGACTTTTACTTGTTGCTTTCTTTTTCATTGAGTGTCTTGTTTGATGAAAAGCATAGAATTAGAAATTAAAGTTGTTTTGACAGAAAATGCACAAAACTTTAATCTAAGGCCAGGTGTAAGCAATTCTCAGCATAAGAAATGGTTGAATTGTTCCAGGTCTGGTCTGGTTTCCATCATGGTGTTTGTTGTAAACAACAGCTGGTTAGGACCCATAACGGATGTCAGTTGCAATCACCAAAACATCCTGAAAAACAGCAACATTACAATATTATAAATGAACCTCTCTTCTCTCAGTAAAATACTATTACATGCTTTGAAACACAGCATCAAAGTTTAGTTCTCATATCCTAGCTTTGTATATTTTCATAGATTGCTGTGCACCTATACTGTTTATTTCCTGTAGTGCTGAATGAAAGGGATAGAAACATAAAGTCACAGTGCTGGAGAAGGCCACTTGATTCATTGCGCTTCTTTGAAAGAATTTTCTAATTAGTCCCATTCTAATGCTCTTTCCTCAGTGTTGTTATTCTTTACAAGTAGTTATTCAATTCTCCTTGCGAGTTACAATAGAATCTCCTTCCACTCTGTTTTCTCGCAGTCCATTCCCGATTGTAACTCGTGATATAAAATCATTTCTCTTCATTGCCCTCGGAGCTTTTGCCAATTATCTTAAATTTGTGAACATTAGATACTGTCCATTCTGTCTCTGGAAATCGTGCTTCTGTGCCTATTCTGTCTAACTCACTTCAAAGAAGAACAAGCACAGCTTCTCTAGCCTCTGTACATTAGTTAAGTGTCTTGTTGCTGGTACCGTTACAGTACATTCCCTCTCAGATAAATTTAAATTGTGTTTAACGAAAGCATTAGCACCAGAGAAACAGAAATGAGTCAGGTTTCAATGGTGTCTGCTGTTAAAGAAAGTTAACACTGAGTTCATGTGGCTTCTACAACCAGATCTCCAAATGCACAGGCAATTTGAGGAACACTTTAAATTGGGAAAAGTGATGGAAGATCACCCTTTTTTAATTCACTCATGAGACATTGGAGTCAATGGCTGCACTAGTGATTATTGCCTATCCCTAGTTGCCCTTGAGAAGATGGTCATGAGCTACCTTCTTGAACTGCTGCAATCCATCTGCTGTATATCAACACACAATGCCCCAAGGGAGGCAGAATTTTGACCCAGCAACAATGAAGAAACAGCAATATACTTCCAAGTCAGGATGGCTTGGAGGACAACTTGCAGGTGGTGCTGTTCCCAAATATCTGCAGCCCTTGTCCTTCTAGATGGAAGTGGCCGTGGGTTTGGAAGGTGCTGTCGAAGGATCTTTGGTGAATTTCTGCAGTGCATCTTGTAGATTGTACACACTACTACTGAGTATCAGTGGTGGACAGAATGGATGCTTGTGGATCTGGTACCAATCCTGTGGGCTGCTTTGTCCTGGTTGGTGTCTGGCTTTTTGAGTGTTGTTGGAGCTGCACCCTTCCAGGCAAGTGGGGAATATTCCATCACAGTCATAGCTTATACCTTGTAGATGGTGGACAGGCATTAGGG